GTCATGTTTTGATGGTGTCCCGGTCCTGTTGTGATGGTGTCCTGGTCATGTTTTGGGGGTGTGCCGGGCCGGTTATGTTTTGATGGTGTCCCGGTCATGTTGTGATTGTGTCCCAGTCATGTTGTGACGGTGTCCCAGTCATGTTGTGATGGTGTCTCGCTCTTGTTGTGACGGTGTCCCGGTCATGTTTTGATGGTGTCCCGGTCACCTTGTGATGGTGTCCCGGTTATGTTGTGATGGTGTCCCAATCGTGTTGTGACGGTGTCTCGGTCATGTTTTGATGGGTGTCTCGGTCATGTTTTGATGGTGTCCAAGGAAGAGATGTTTGTCCCGGTTTGTATCTTGCTATTGGGGTCTCCAGCCGGGCTAATTTTAGAGAATGCGACGTTGCCGTATAGATCTTGCACGGGCAGAAGAAGGAAAATTAAGCTGCCAGTGTCTTTCGGAGTGGAGCTGGGACAAACAGCTCTCGCAGCCGCCCGATCTTCTTAGGTATGTCTGAGAAAAGTAGAGCGCTTTGACCGTCCGTGCACCACTTTATAAGTGGTAGGGGAGCCCGGCAAAAGGTAGGCTCGCCGGGACAACTTGGCTGGTGGATGGAGTTTGGCGTCCTAGGCGGCGTCGTCCTCCGGGTGGTGCACCTATGAAGGTGTCGCATGGGGTACAACATGGTGGACACCCTGAAGGAGATCGTCCAGTCCGTTGCCGCCAGGGCCTAGAGAGCAGGGGTGGATCGGCTGATCCTTGGTTGCTGCGCTCGCTTGGTTGCGGGGACGCGATGAACCAGGACCGTGGGATTGGACGGGGTGGCCGTCTTCGTGGCAGTGGTCATGGCGACCGAGTTCATGGGAGGGGTGGCGTGAGGCGTCTTAAGGTGACCCTGGTGGCGCTGCCATGGCAGCGCGCGCATCCTCGCAAGCCAAACTGAGGGCCCTGAAGCAGGCCCATGGATACTTCAAGAAAACGAACCCCATGTTCAACCTGATCAGAAAGAGCGGCTCCGGAAGTTGATGCAGGAGAACCCTCCGCCCTGACCGCGTCGACTTCAGTATCAGTATCGACCCTGTCCACCTCTTCCATTTCTCCACCTGAGGGAGAGCGCGCAGCTATGCCTGCGGTGCTTGAACGGATGATGAAAGACCAACAACAGAAGCCGGCTGGTCGAGTCGAGCATATATGGCTGCCGTGTGTTCAGTGGAAGGGCAATGAGTTTGTCACATTAAATTGGTCAATGGTTCGGATGATCTGTTAGCAGCTCGTATGGTAGTCGGTTTAGGTTGTTTGCGAACTGTTGCCGGGGTTCGTTGGGTTGTCGAGGAGATCGCTCGCTGCAAACAAGCCGGTCAACGTGTCATGATCGCTCGCGCTTAGGATTATTTTCGTTTTGGAGACGGTGCTCGACGACCATGGAGTTCCGGCGCAGGCAAGTTTGATTTACTCAGGTTGGGGGTCAAAGCGCAACATGTGTCCAGTTCGCGTGAAGGCCATTTTGTTTTGCGTATTGATGAGTTTCTTGTTGGCCTGAATGGAAGCAGTTGCTTGAGCAGGGACATCAACCAAAAATTCGAGGGGACGAGTAACAAATGTTTGAGATGCGTCATGGACTGCGCGCTTCAACAGCCGGCTCAAGCACCTGGTGATCGTTCCTCCCACAAGCAAGCCCTGGCCAGTCAGCCCACCGCGCTTCATCCTGTTTGCCATGGATCGTGCTGGGCGGACAAGGCAGAGCAGCCGCTGGATGTGGTGTGCCCAGCCAGGAGGCTCTGGAAGCGCTAGGTGCCAGACTGGGGAGAAGAAGACGAAGAACTGTGGGACAAGCCGACCATGAACCGCAAGATGCATCAAGGAACTCGACTGGATGAATCGATGCGCTCAGCGTCCGGGCAGCAGCGAGCGGGGGGAGGTGATGGTCGGGTGAAGGGCAAGAGTCTCCACAGCAAGAAGGAACAGAAGTTGGAGATCACCGGACTGAAGGCCGACCGGACTCACAGTCAGGGTGCGGTGTTCAACATGAGCTGGGTCCTGCGTGGCCGCTTGCTAACACACACGTGGAAGCAACTCCTATGGCTGCCGCGGGCCGAAGTGGCGATGGAAGCCTTCCGCTGACCTTGGCGCCGTCGCCCTCGCTGGATGGTGGGGATGTTTGCCAAGGAGGTAGCGGCCATTTGGGCCGCTCGGGCCGCTCTTGATGAAGTGACTGAGTTGGGTGAGCCACAGAGCAATACAGGGGGGGACAGCGCATTTTGATACAGCAGCGGACACCTTGGAAGCGTGGTCAGAGTCAACAAGGCCTCAAGAGTATCAAAACTGTGTTGGATCATTTGGCCACGGTTGCTAAATCTGTGTTGCTGGAAAGTATAGAGATTTTTGGTAGTAGCGCAGCACTTTCCCTTGTAGCCCGTTCAACTGGCCAGTGGATCGCCTTGGAGCCCGTGGATCTAGTGTATGGACAAGATCTTTTGGACCCCAAAGAACGTCGTGCTGTTTTCTCTCAAATTGAAGCGCGGGAACCTGATTTGGTTTGTTTGGAACCCGCGTGGGCCTTGCGTGGTCATCCCTTCAGAACATCAACGCACAAGATATAGTGGAGCTGAAACGCGCGCTGCATATGCGCATATGCCTTCTTGGGAGTTTTCTGCGCAAGTGTGGCATTTACAAAACAAAGCAGGTCGGTTGGTTTTGTTGGAACAGCCATTGTTGAGTGCAGCTTTGCGTTTACCATGCATGTCGTCGCGTGACAATGTTCATCGAGCTGTGGTAGACCAGTGCATGTTTGAGCTTAAAGACCCAGTGACACTCGAATTGTACAGGAAGAGAACCGTGCTTGATGTCAATTCTCCTGTTTTGGCTGCACCCTTGACGAAGGGGTCTAAATGTTCGCGTCACCCCTGTCACCATGAGATCATCGAGGGGAAAACCGTGATGGACGGCAAGCGGGTGAACCGCTCATTGGTGGCAGGCACTTGGACTCCAGCGTTTGGCCGGCGCATCTTGGCCGACCTTAGCCAATGCTGGTGGATGGCAGCGTCGTCACTTAGGGCATCTGTCTTTTTTCACTCGTCTCGATGAGCCGGATGCTTCAGCCATGTTTTTGCAGGTGCCTCTCCAAGAGATGCTGTGTGCAACAATAGATTGCTTTGCTCGAGCTGATGTGTGGTGCTGCCAATGCCGCATTGGATGGCGCTCAACTTGTCACGCAGGTCATGTGTGTGTGTGATCCGCAGCCCGAATTAGGACAGGTGGACGCCCATTTGACCTTAGCGGCCTCCACTGGGGATGCTGACATGGCGCGCCTTGACCAAGGTGGTGGGGGTGAGGAAACGAAAGCAGAACTTGCCATCAAGCAGCTCTTCAAGAAGTTGCAATGGGAAGAAGAGGAAAGAAACGGTTATTTCAGTGGCATTGATAGCCGGCTGCATTTTGTGGATCCCTCCTTGCGGATTTCCAAAACCATCCGCAACCAGGTAGCCCAAACTACATGGTACCCTGGGGCATCCCTCTCAAGAGCGCCTGCGACGCGTGTTGACAATCAACGGTGCCAACAAGGAAGTCATTCAGGCTTCGAGGGATTTGAGGTGTGAGATCTGCTCCAGGATCCACCCACCTGTGTCGGCTCCCAAGTCAGCGGCAACGACGCCAGAGAGGTTTAACCAGCGGACTTTTTTTTTGTGCTGGATAGTGAAGGCCGACGCTGAAACGTCACCAAATGGTGGACAGGTTTTGCTCGCTGCAGTAGTACGCACCCCTCCGCAGTGCCTTGGCTATGGCTGTTCAAGCCAAGCAGGCTGAGCCGTCGACGTGGGTGGTCGCTGCTCCAGGGAGCGACGCGGTGGTGCCTTCCTCTCTGGTTGAACAAGTAGATCGTGCTGAGATCAAGTTGGCCAATAGCCAGATCATAGAGCGTGGGGAGCAGGCCATGATGGAACGGCTTTGCAAGGAGGCAGTTGCTGCCTTTCATCACCAAGGCTTTGGTATTTGGAGCTGGTCGCTATGGCCACTGTTCACGTAGATGATGTTCTGATGGCTGGTGGTGATGTGGCTGAGCCGTTATGGGACGGAACTTCAAAAGAGACTGACTTTTGGCAGTTGGTCACCAATGGGCGATGGACTCAAATTCCTAGGGCGACATCTGCAGCAAGATCTCAACGCCATGGAGATTGTGACTTCCATGGCAGAGTATTGTGCTGACCTGTCGGAGGTAGACGTTCCACGACATGAGTCCGATGATCGCCCTTTGACAGAATCTGAGGTGGGCATTCTCAGATCCATCAATGGCAAGTTGAGTTGGGCCGCTCGTCAAAGCAGACCAGATGTTCTGTTTTTAGTGTTCCTCCTCCAACAAAGTGATCAAACAATTGAAGAAAGATCAACCCTTGCGTTTTGTGTCTTTGGGCTGCTCCTTGGGTGAAGTCTTGTTTGTGGTGGCCAGCGACGGTGCCTGTAAAACCACGCCTGAGGGAAAATCGCAGCAAGGCTGGATAGTCGGCGTGGCTCATCCCAGCATCAAGCGCGGGATGGCAAAGATGAACTTGGTGGAGTGGCAGAGCAGTGAGGTCGTCTGTGGCCATAGAGGCTAGTGCAGCCTCAATGGGTTTTGAGCACGGGCAGATTTGGCAAGAGGATTGTCAGGTCCGTCGATGGGGCCATCCTGTGAGAAGGTGGGAATTGCTTTTGGTCTTGGACGCCAAGACTGCATACGCTAAGAGGTCGAGTGCAGTTCTTCGATAGGCAGACGGAGAGAGCCTATCGAAGAACTGCGCTCGACCTCTTAGCGATCAAGGAATCGCTTCTGGATGAGAGCCGTTAGGTCCCCGGTCCACAGCAAATGTGCAAGCTCAAAGAGAACGGCAGCGAGAGAACCAAAAGGCCTACAAGGCGAAAGTGCGAGCTGATCGCATTGTATGCTCCCGGTGAGTTGAAACGGGAACTCACCTTCGTTCGTTCATCCATTTCACTTGCTCTCGCAGCCGCCCGATCTTCTCAGGTATAGTATGTCCCGGAAAAATAGAGCGCTTTGACCGTCCGTGCGCCACTTTATGTGAATCCGACTCGATACATTTATATTATAGAATCCGATGCCAGGATTCCAATCTGACCCAGTTTGGGCTTCCGAGAATCCGATCAAGTGTCACTGATTCAACCCGCGCTCCCTGTTGTCATCATCGCAGTGGTTGTTGCCTTCTTAGTCGTCTTCGTTGTTTTCAAACAGTTGCCTACAAACCTTGCATGGTTCTACAATGCCTCGTTTCAGACAAGGTGCTTGGAAGCCACCGCCTTTTGTGTTTTGGGTGAGCAGACTTGCTCTTTGCCTTTTGACGAGGAGAAGGGCAGTTGTCCTTTTGTAACGGCCATATGTTTCCGTAAAAATCTAGAAACCACATCAATAGTACGAGCGCTTCCTCAAGGAAGCTCCCCCGCCCTGGGGGGAGGTTTTCTTGAAGAAGCGTGAACTAACCTGCGTCCTTGTGTAGCAGCTCGAGTAGCTAAGAGCGAACTTCTGCCTTACTTACTTATATAAAATTAAGTATAGGCGCCTACGTTTCTTTGGTTTGTAAAAGCACGACCTCGCAGGAATTGGAATTTGTTTTAGACCTGGGAGATGCAAAACCTCGCTGGAGCCAAGTGAAGGTTTGCTTCACTGTTTGGGATGAAGTGGTGCTTCGCACCGCCCGAAACGCGTTCTTTGGTCAAACATGGCTTCCTTCCCTCACAGAGCTTGGAGGGTAACCCCAAACGCTGGAGCTTCCTCTACTGCGATCAGAGGGTGAGGTCGTTGAGGTTGGTGACCTGTCACTGGAAGCGACTTGGCAATACCCTGCAGGCCCTGCATCTGACGAGTCGCAGGGTTGTTTGAGTCTCAGAAGGCTGGCTGTGGGTGGAATGAATGGGCCGGCATACTTGGTCGTGCGGGTGCTACATCAAAGCAGTCGAGGAATTGAAGGATGTGGCACCAGGCACTTAAATCTCAATATTGGTACAAAACCATCGCAAATAAAAGCTCAAAATCCAGCACGGCTGGACAGCAAGACGTGGCCTCCATTGAAAGTGGTCACACCAAGGCCTCCCAAGAGCCCACTTCGCTTTGTGGTGCCCAGCAGCTTGGTGAAACTTGGCCGACGACTGCGCTTTATCGGTTTTGATACTGCCCTTGTGGACAGTATCTCAGAGGCATCGGTCACGGCGGAGTCTGAGAAGCGAAAGATGATTTTATTGGAAGGCTCCCGAACGGGAGCGCTCGGCACTGTTTGCACAGTGCCTCGAAGCTCGTTGGAGATCCAGCTGCAGCACATCTTGGATCACTTTGGTATTTTGCTGGATCCTGCTTTGATGGCTTCACGCTGTGCAGAGTGCAACGCTGACAAGTTCCGACTAGCAAGCGCTTGGGAAGCTGCAAGTGAGTTGCATGCGAGCACAGTGGAGCGCTATTCAGCATCTCAGTTGCATGGAGTTTTGTTAGTTTGAGCAGTTATGCAGGCAATGCAAGCTTGCATTGGAAAAGCATTCTTGCCACTTAGAAGAGTATCCTCTACTTCACAAAGATGTTTCCAAAAGGGCCAGCTCAAAAATTAAATCTTGCGAAACGGAGGGTTGGCTGACAGGTCCGAATCTTCAACAAATCGGCAGGGTTTCTCAGTTCTCCATCCCTTATACAAGTTTCCCTAAAACCAAATCATTAGTGTGAGCGCTTCCCCCGCAGCCCTAAGGGGGAGCTTCCTTGAAGAAGCGAGCTATCCTGCGTCCTGTCGGTAGTAGCTACTTGCAGGTAGTAGCTACCTAGCTACTACTAGCTACCTACCTAGCTAACCTACCTCCTAGCGGCCTACCCGCCCTTAAGAAAAAAGAAACACAAACATCCAGACACCCCAAGACTCAAAAGGGTCAAAGACTCGATTCCTGCGTGATGAGATTGCGCGGCATGTTCACTTTTGCAAGATGTGTTCGGCGAAGTAGCAGGTTTTGTGAACTGATCAAGTGGGGTGTAAAATTGTTAGGCTTGGTAAAATGTTAAGTACTCACCACTATGTTCACCATGCTATGGCACAGTCTATTTTCACAACCGGGGATGGCCGCACGACTGGCGGAGTTTAATGATGAACATACGGCAGGGTATCACGACTGATGGGTTTCTTGATTGCAAAGTTCCTACCGCTGGTGGATGGTTGATTCGTATCGTTGGGTGTGAAGTGCTCAGCATTGGACATGGCTGCTTGCAGCTGGTATGGTTGGGGGATGAGCCTACGAGAGGTTCTAGGTGAAGGTTCTGAAGTTCAGATGAAGACTTCAGATGAGCATGTTGATCCCAGGTTCCCAAGATGTTGCGAAGGTTGCAAGGAAGGGTGTGAAGGTGCAAAGTTCCAAGCCTTCGGTGTAACCCCTATCCAATGGCATCCTCTACCAATGTGAGACAGTTAGACATGACATCCGATGTCATCTCTGTCAAAAAAACCAAGGAGTTCTGGCGCTGCTGCAACTGCCGCAAACTATATTGGGAGGGCGGTGCTTGGTGCCGTTCGATGCGCGCCCTAGGTTCCACGCCCTTGGGGCCTGACACTGGAAAAAGAGCGGACGGCATGCCATTTGCAAAATGGATAAACTGCCAGGTACAACAGAATTTCAAAGGTTTTGTTTTGGTTGAGCTGCGTTTGCGATTTTGCAATCCTCGTATTCAAGAGGACCCAAGTCAACATGTTTGCAAGGTGCTGCCTGCCTTTTTGCAGGCCCCGTAAAAGAATCGTTCAAAGCATTCAACGAAAGCAATTGAGGTGCAGAAAAAGTGAGCATTTGGTTGGCTAGGTGTTCCCTTTCCATTTTGTGGCTTTAGAACTATCCAGCAAGGGTGCAGTGCTTGGTTTGTCCTTCGAGGTTGATGTGAAGCCAATTCCATTTCAAGAGGACTTGGAAGATTTGGAGGACTGTAAACTCAAGCGTTTGGTGTCAAGGTTTGCTCGGCTCATGGAGCCGACAAAGAATTAAAGAGCAGCAATGGGCGTTCAGGATTTCACTTTAAGCGTAAGGCGTAAGACTTTTGACTCTTGCTGTCAAGCCACAACCAGCTAGATTCGGTCCTTTGCACAGCCATGTCGGTCCTTTCCAAGTTAACAGATTTCACAGCCTCGCCTTGCCATGCGAATGGCCGTTCACAGCCCGTGCAAGCGTTGCCTCACCCACCCCAGACAATTCAGCTTGGTCTCCACAACAAAGCACCCAGAAGTGCTTTTATATAGGTCGCCTACAAGCATTTGCTTCACTTTTCCTTCTTGATTTTATAGACTCTATAGACCTTGGCACAGACCATGCAAACTGCTACAGACCATGCAAACTGCTTCCCTGTCAGTGCCTGTCAGGCACAACCTGCAAGCCCTGAGTGCGGGCGCTAGCTGGGGACAATCACTGAAACGACAATTCCAATATGCTTGGAAACCGATGTTGCACTGAAGTTTGCAGAAAGTTCGAAGCTGTCCCTCAAGCTCATAAGCCAATTGCAGTTTCAACATTTGGCAAATTTTCAATCCACGTTTTTGGCCGTACCACCATGCCCAAATGCCGATGCCAAACTTTTGAGCGAGGCCACCTCCTTTGGCGCCGATGTCATCCCATTTTGCTGAGGACCTGCATGTCATGGTAAAGGGATGGAAAGAGCGTGGTGTAGGAGCATTTCCCAGGAAAAGGATATTGTGTGGGAGGCCATCGCTATTAGGTTCAGACTTTGCATTGGTGCACACCACTTGAGCTTGAAGAGCTCAGTTCGATCAACTGACATGTTTGGCCCGCAGGATCCCTCGCTGTCAGAAGCAAAGACAATGCCAAACACGATGCGTCCTAAAAAACATTTCTTGTATCAGGGTTTGAACCAGTTTACCTAGGCCTCAAGATGATGCAACTGCAGATCTAGAGCTGCTTCCCGAGTATTCGCATTTTGTTACTGTATATGATATGCACTGTTTGCTCCTTTTGAGCATTGTATATAAATATAATACATTATATAAATATGTATATCATAAGTAGGTTTAAACGCTATGCAGTTGCTCAGGAAGGAAGTGCCAGAGACGCGTGGACCTCGGAACTGTCCGATTCATTCTGCGCAGACGTGCACAGACACTCTTCTTTGCTTCCCGAAAGCTACATGCTACATAATTTTTGGTACCTGTTTGTGATGCAATTGTTCGGGCTGCAATACAGGGCCCTTGCTAGAACTACCCCAATCTGGTTTTTGTCGGACTTGGGCTTGGTGCAGCAATCTTGCAGCTTGCTCATTGTCGCTTCGAAGCCAGCAGCGATTGTTTGAACTTGCTTGCCGCGACTATTTTTCCAACCGGCCGAGTTGCGTGAAATTTGGCTTCCTGTGGCCAGGCAGGAACGTATGCTTCCCGGCCACACCGATGACACGTCTTCACCTTACTCGTTTCGTTGGCTTGGGTAGTTTACATTTTACTCTCATTTTACTCTCCAGAAATAAAGAGCCACCGTTCAACACAATTCAATACAGGCATTTAGTGCAAACAAGTGCATGTCTACATTCTTTTGTGTGTGTGTGTGGCGTAAACCAAACAGAGATTGAACGTCTACAGTCTACAGCATTGCCATTGGGATTGGCGTTTCTGGGGTGGTCACTTGGAGGCGTTGAATGTAGCTGTGCTATTGAAGTTTGCTCTTGAAGGGTTGCCTCGAAGTGTTTTCCTGACAAGTCTCAGCTAAAATTGGTTGTGAGTGATGTGGGTCAAGGATCAAAGTGTCGAAATCAGTCCAACTGTGTGTTGTACTGTACATGTTGGAGGTGTTTGGAGTCAGTTTTCGGGGCAGGTGCACGGAATCATGAGGTTGCTTGGGGCTGTGCCATTGAGATTGGTGTTTTCGGGGATCTCATGCGATGACATGCCTGCTTTGAAGACTTGATGTTTTGATGCGCGACTTTTGGAGGAACACTCATACGAAGCGCTCCTTTTGAAGACTTTGGTGCAGGTGACTATCTCTGTGCCACACGGATTGGCGTCAACTTAAACTGTGGCCAACTTGCTCGTTTTGGAGACTTGACATGTGACTTTTCAGGGAAGTCTCGAACGAAATCAATTGTTTGGAAAACTTCACGCGCCATCCTTCTGCTCATGTTGGAGACAGGACGTGTTGTGTTTGGTGGAAGCCTCGAACGAAAAGCTTGTTTGTCAAGCAAAGGTGCCCCACAAGATCCCACAAGAGTGTCCAAGAATGGCACAAAAGAGTGTTCTAGCGTCAGGGAAGAGTTCGGCACAAGAGTGCCTGTCAGCCAAAGTCTTCTTACAAGAGGTGCACGCAGCCTGAGGTATTCAAACTGCTTTGCTTTGCATTCCAGTTCGCGGGCTTCATCTTGTGTCTTTCCGTTGCTGTAACGAGAAAGATGCAGGCGACAAAGTGTAGAGGAAGAAAGACGCGCACGCATAGGTACATATCCGTGATTATACGCGGGCGCCACAAATATGTCATGTATTTGCAACCCTCCAAATTTTTCACAAGACAAGTAGTGGGAGTGTGTACAGCTTTACGGATGGACCAGCAGAGGTTGACATTTACAGGCATAGAATCATAGAGCGGTGTTTTCCACATATGATTTGCTTTCACGCAGAGTAGAGTATTCCCGCAGCAAGTAAAGGACAGGGATACATGCCAGAGCAAGCCGTTCTGGACCCACACCATCAGCTCAGTGGAAGATGAGGGTATAGAGCTTGCATTAATGTCATTTTCGACAATGTGTTCTTGAAATTGCAAATGAAGTTCTTCCACGGTGCGCACCTTTTGGAGGGCGCCATTTCATGCCCACGTGATTCCAAACGCGTAGACAAACATGTGAGTGCATATATTGACTAGCAACCCCCCTCAATCCCACATTGTGTGCACCGACTCGGTTTCCGGGTTCCTGCTCCTGGATGAACCCACACCTAACCTTGATGATACATGATGATACCACAGCATGATCGACCAGCGTCTAACCAGCCATAGTGGCAGACTCTTGCAGTCAACAAGTCGCCCCACAGCCGTGGCCGCCGCGCAAGCCAGTACAGAAGAGGCCGCAAGCCATCATGTTTGAGCTGCTAGTCACTCCCCTGTGCAGTCTCCTGCACCCTGCTGGCCCTTCCATTCCCAGTTGCGTTGTTTTGAACTCTCTTGCCACCATCAACCTCGACGACTGTTGTCCAAGACCTGCCGTTTCTTCAACTCATTGAGGTTCAATGCAAAGCTGTGTGTATAGTGGATGGTTGACTCAAATACAGAAGTGGCTTGTCAAGATGCAGTTGCATTTACCGTGCCCCGTTGTCCATATTGTGTGAGCATTCTGTCGTTTGCGACTCCCGTCGCATCCTTTCGGAACAGGGTCCTTGAGCACTTTACCATTGCAAAGCAGCTTCACACTTTCAGGGCATTTGCGTTCTATTTGTCATCGCAGAGATTTTTTCCTTGCGATTGAGATTGGTAGCAGCGTGGGGCACGATCTGCACGAATAAGATGGCTTCGCAATCCTCCAACTGTTTAGATGTTGGAACTTGCAGTGGCTCCCGCGGGCTAGACAGTGGCGTGGCTAAAGCGGCGCCGACTTCTAACGGCTGTTCGTCGCGAGCTGTTTAATTGCGCCTCCCGTGATTGTTTCGTTGATGAAGCAGGATTTGAGGGCTGAAGTAGCGGAAGAAATCGCCTGCAGATGGTAGTCTCACAGGTGGGGCCGCCGCAGTGTCAAGAAATTTGAGCCCTGTTGGGCAAAACTACGCGCAAACTGTTTTGAAAGGGCAAGCTTCACCTCGGGGGAACCAACCTTAGGATTTCACTACCTGATGGAAATGGAGGCGCCTTTCGATCTTACGATGTACTAGGTAAGTCCCCAATGGGTCCGAACGCAGATGGCCAGTTGCAATTTCACTAGGCGATGTTCGACAAATCGACTCAGAAGCCGTGCGTAAGCTAGCGGTCCGCTTCGCTAGCGTCCTCAAAGTCGACTTGTGGGCGGGCTTTCTGCGCATGGATCTTTCGAACTATCATCGCCGAAAACGTAAGAGGGTCACCACTCTTCCCGAACTTACGAAGCTCTTAGGATCCAGCGTCAACTTCGAGCAGTTTCCCCCCTGCCCTGCGCTAGCACAGTGTTTTCGAGAACGCCGCCTCAATGGACATCGAAGCCCGTGATGAGATTTCCACGCTTATCGGGCACTGTAAACCACGACGGCTCAATCCCGTGCGATCACCAGCCACGCCCGTTCGCGATACTACGCAGGTTGAGGCGCATCTCTGATTCAAACTAAACGTGGGCCGCGCTAGATGAAGCTCTCATGTGGCCGACAGTCTTTGTGGTCTGTCTGTCATTCTTTATATGCATCGCGCCACTCGCGCGAACTCAGATAATTCCCGTAAGCTGGCACCTTTTTCGGACATGGTGGAAAGGGGCTTGATTGCCGGGGGCTTGTGGGCCATTCACATCGGCTGCGCTCGGATGGTGGTATTCTTACATTCTGCGATACCAAAAAACGGCCTCACGCTACTGTATTTGACTTCCACAGACCGATTTGGAACTTCAGTGACTAAGCTTTTCGCGACACTCTGGAAGTCTTCAGATTCAGGTGGAGATCCAAAGAACTCTTTTAAGAGGCAGGTGGCAGAGCTGCAGGGTAGCTAGGATCCTATTTAATGTATGATGCTTTAGCAAGACTTATTCAGATGCGTCTGAATTCTTCTCAGCGGCAGCGCCTCGCACGCTATTTCTTTGAAGGCTGATGAGCCACGAGTGCACTGTCTGACCCTGTGTGGATTGCCGACGTCTGGAAGCGGTGGGAAAGACCCTGCCACTGGATCGAAACTGTTTCTCTGGGTTGATGCAAAGCATCAACAAGGCATGGCAGCAGAAAATGAAGCGATGACAGCTGTATATTGTCTCTAGAGACGGCTTGTCAGAACCGGGGCTGCTGGTGTATCACCCATTCCCGCCCTGCTCACTTTGGTGGGGCAAATTGAAAGTGAGGGGGTGGAAGCGCCGAGAAGGACCTTGGGCTGATGCAAGGTGTCAACAGACCGGCAGCGGAAAATGACCGTGAGTGATGGCAGAGCATGACCGGGGCCGTGGATCTGCCGGCGCCCAGCCGCCTTAGGAGTGCGCAACCAGAAAGAACGAAAAAGCAGATCAGAACGGAAACAGATAAAAAAAGAGAAAGAGCGAGGGAGGGAGGGAGGGAGCGAGGGAGGGAGGGAGCGAGGGAGGGAGGGGGCGAGGGAGGGAGGGAGCGAGGGAGGGAGAGAGAGAGAGAGGCAGAAACAAATAGAGAGGTCGTCGATTAGATAGAAACCTAGAAACCTTGAGCCGGAAGGCTGTGACAGAGCAAATGGGCATGGTGTAGAGAAGGAGCAGCAAAAGAGACTACAGGGGCATAGGCTGGCACGCGATTCCAAACATGTAGGGGCGTATCCCGAGTCGGTGGAGAGCCAACGCCGCTACAATTTCTTTGCTGTTTCCTTCTGCGCGCAGCGTCGCAGCAAGACAACCGAACTTCCTTGGACAGCAGCGCTTTTGGAGTTGTTGGCATTTGGATGACGAGAGGGCGGTGCGCAGTTCTTAAACTAGCGCCGTTTCTCAGGAGGAATGGTGCCCCTGCAGATCAAGCAGGAGCTGTCTAATGCGAGAGACTGTCGAATGTATCGTGGAGCCAGATCAGGACTGGGAGGAGAGCAAGATGGTTGAAGGTGATGCAGTAGATAATAATAGTAGATGATGGTGGTGTTGGTGAAGAGGCAATCTCGATGCAAAGACGTTGGTCTGGACGTCCTAGCAGTGAGTGGAGATGCCCCAAGGTGACAAAGAGAGGACTATTGCAGAGGTGTTTTGCCAAATCGAGCCACCAATGAGGAAGTGGGCCGCGAATCCGCGAACTCTTTAAGTCCACGAATGAATTGAGTGGTGGTCGAAGGGGGCAGCAGAAGAAGACGAAGAAGACGAAGAAGAAGAAGAAGAGGAGAAGAAGAAGAAGAAGAAGAAAAAAGAAGAAGCAAATCAAGAAAAAGAAGAAAAAACGAAGAGAAGAACGGTCCCGACAGCCGAGAAGGTCTACATGATTGACTATAATTAGCTCGATCAGGGGAGAGAGAGAGAGAGCTAGGCGAACGAAGAGTGAGAGGAGCAGCTTGCAAAATGTGGGTCGCTGAAACCGGCATCTAAGGGGTCTGAATATCGTCGTGAAGTCTTTGGAAAGCTGACTGAAGGACAAAAAAAAAGGGAAATGAAGGTGTGTCCACAGTGGAACAGCACCAATAGCGCTGAGGGTGATAGCGAAACAACGCCAACGACAACAAAGAGATCAGCAGCAACAGGCTGCTGTGGGGACTGCATCGCGACACCCCTCATACAAGACGAATGGTCCAAGACGAAAGCAGACGGCTCATCCTTCATACTCAGCTTTTCAAACAAATCTGAATACATAATAGGGCATCGCTAGTAGTAGCAAAAGGCATCGCTACTAGGAGCAAGAAACTCTTGGTAGCTCTTAGCCTTACTACTAGGAACAAGAAACTACTACTGTAGGGCGTCGCTACTAGGAGCAAGGACGCTGCTAGGGTCTCCTGACCTTACTACTAGGAGCAAGTAGCTACTAGTAACAAGAAGCTGCAATTGTGTCTCAGGTCCCCGCAATATGACAATGATGCAGGTCGTTGAAGCAAGTCCATGGAGTCCACGCAACAGATTGCAACCACCCGTAACCACCACAGACTGCGCTATGTATAATTCTTCGTTCAGTCAACTGAAGTGTTTTCTTTAAGCCAGCTGAGCAAGCTCTGGCAACGCCAAGGAGTCCGCGCACACAACACCTACTGGCAGTTTTCATCACAGTTTCACAATACATGGCATACGTAGTGTTTTCTCTCATAAAAGAACCACATGAAGTTGATTTTTGGGGCAACCCACATTCTTCAAAAGTGCACACTATCGACGATATGTGCCCAAACCCTAACCAAAGGAACCGGCCACCTCCATGGTTGGCACAGGTTCTCTCACTTGCGTCAAGCTGGTTCTAAGGAACAGGAATCAGTGAATTTGATACTGTGACACCGTGGCGCGAGTAAGTGCTTGTTGATTTCTGAAAGGGGCGATGCCGAGCAACGCCATTTGCCCCCTCCCCAGTATGAAGTTCCATTTTTGACAGCTTGGTCGATACAAGTTGGAAACCTTGGAAGCTTTCCGAACACTTTCGCTCAATGCCTTGATGTTGGGTAGCTTGAACTTCAGGTTAGCAAAGACCTCACCAGCCTCCAAGAAGAGTTCTGGCGGGGCAGGGAAGCCACCTCCACCAAAACCAGAGGTCTGTGCCACAGATTCAGAAGGATGACGGAAAAGGAAACATATGAGCGCATCCAAGCATTTGGTATCAGAAGTCACGGATCTCCACTCATGATAGTCATGCAAAGATGTTGCCCATGTGGCATATTCCAGCCTGCCCACAGGACCCAGGCTTGCCTCCCTTGGTGCCGAAGGACAAACTGACCAGTTCTGCGTCAACTGCTCAATGGCTGGACGGTTCTTTATGTTGAAGGGGCTGTCACCATGTTAATGAAGACCGTCAAGCTTCTATGTAGAGGGCACAAATGATAGTTTCACAGTCTCACTGATTGTTTCACTCCAATCTAAAGTTGCCTTGTCCTGTAAAGGAACTCACTGAAGAGACGAAGCAGGCTGTTAATACCTCCGCGCATTATTTCCTTTCAGATGCAAGTCGCTGTGATCCAGTTAGCGCTCGCTCATCTTTTGTTATAGCTCTCATATAGTTTGAGGTACAATTGCGCATATTCGCATATTCTTTCAAACTTGCTTTTCCTTCAACTTCCATCACCCTGGCTGCTAGCTTATATCAGGCATCCTTGCAACCATTCTTCATTCTGCCGGTGGATCCTTTGCCCTCACGCATGGCAACGAGCGCTATATGCATGTGACAAACAGCATATGACCGGACAGGCATTCAGATACATTCAACTTCAACTTTCTGGCAGGCAGTGAATGCCATTGATGCTTTGTTGAACCGCAAGAAGCGACCTTTGAGGCAAGCTTGGAGCAACCCCAAAGCCCAGAAGCTTCGAGCTGGAACAAAAATAGTTCACAATTGACATCATCAGGTGCAAAATTATAAACTATTGTGATATATACTTCATCGCATTTCCGAATTTCCTAATTTTCTGTGATATCAGAAGGATGAAGGGCATTGGCGCATGTTGCGACTCTTTCCTCCCGGCAGTAGAAAACGGTTGAACAGGCAGTCCTTGGAGGAAGCTCTTGACACGCGGCACAGTCTGGTGGCTGCTGACACCAATGATGAAGGTGCCAATGGCCTTACATACACTTATCTATATATACTTACACATATGTATATATGTACAAAAACTAGACGACGGTTGGCCCGAGAGCGAGAAAGGTGATTGTCAAGCAATTCCGAGTAAAATCGAGTTGTCCAAGAGCCATGACTTCTTTGTACAATCTATTATTGAGTAAGAAGTTGCGAAGAAATTAGATTTAGCGTATTAAGAGAAAAGATATGTAGAAAGAGAGAAAGAGAGGGCGGATGTGAAGGAGTGACAGTGTGGATGCGCAGGTGCGCCAACCTTGGTGCATTTCTCGCTGTGCAAGCACAACGCTGAAGAGGTTCGAATCAAACTGATATATAGCGCACCAGCTTGGCGCTCCCCAGTGGCACGGCGCCACGCAAACGCACTTTCCACCAAGACCTCGCAAATCCGCATGGCGCTGCGACATCGCGGAAAATTCGCCACACGGTCTGCCCACACACTAGAAGCAACCCTATCACACGATACCGCCAATCATCCCGCTCACCAGCGACGCTCCACGTTTACGCCAGCATGTTTCGCGCTCCCCAGTGGCACGGCGCCGCGCAAACGCACTTCCCACCAAGGCCGCGCAAATCCGCATGACGCTGCGACATCACGGACGTAATTTCGCCGCACGGTCCGCCCACGCACTAGAAGCAATCCTATCGTCCGATACCGCCTTAATCATCCCGCTCACCAGCGACACGCTGCGTTTTAGATGAGACGTAGTTCTACGCTATCTCCTGCTCTACCTCCTCGTGGTCTTAGCGGACATCTGGCTCTTCAGCTGGATGTGCGAAAAGAGCAGGTGGTGCTACCAATGGAACTTGCGTGGTCGTTCATGGAGTTCCGTTCTGATCATCTCCATTTTGATCTTCTCTTTGCTCATCCCTAAGCATTTTGTCATTTTGCTGTGTGTTTTCACACTTGCATTTGCTTGGTGATTTTCCGATGTTGCGTGTGCATTTTTGTTCAAAAAAAAAGAGACGGAGAGCCTATAGCTGCATTCGGGTTGGCAAACGTCGCAAAAGGCGACGAAAACGACTTCTTTGTGGCATAGCGCTAATTGGCACTTTCTCCACATTTACGATGTTTGGTCTGATGTGGTCCTCACGCCTGGTTCCTTGCATGGCTGTTCCTTTGCCTAGAAGCGTTGACGCTTCCTCGTTGTACAGAGGTGTTGGCGTGGTGGCGCTGCCGGATCGGCCGCTAGTGGCCGCAAGCGCAATGATTTTTCTTGCTGGTCTGAGTACGCTCGTGCAAAGCATGGAGCGCGAAGAGGACGAAGAAGCTGATGCTGAGGAAGATCTCCTGACGGACCTGAAAAATCTTGTCCGCACGAAACCTGGTTGCGCGCTCCCCAGTGGCACGGCGCCACGCAAATGCACTTCCCACCAAGACCTCGCAAATCCGCATGGCGCTGCGACATCACGAACGTATTTCGCCACACGGTCTGCCCACACACTAAGAAGCAATCCTATCACACGATACCGCCAGTCATCCCGCTCACCAGCGACACGCCGCGTTTACATCAGCGTGTTTCGCGCTCCCCAGTGGCACGGCGCCACGCAAACGCACTTTTCACCAAGGCCGCGTAAATCCGCATGGCGCTGCGACATCGCGGAAAATTCGCCACACGGTCT